TCTGTGACCACCTGTGTGACCGCTCATGTCCGGCTGCTTCTGAGCCCTCTGCTTTTTGTTGATCTCCCACGGAAAGTCCTCTATCGGTAGCGGGCTGGCGGGGCTGCCCGAACCCTCGGGCGTGCTCTCGGGAGTTCCTTCGATGATCTCAATTCGGGGCGGATCCATGAAGTCCATGATGCTGAAGGGCACTGGCTCTGGTTGGCACATGACTGACTTGTCGTGTGTGTGTTGCCTCACAGACCAGCTTGAACCGGCCTGAATCCCTACGGAGACACGGTCGTCTGTTTGCGTGGTGCTGTCGCTGCATGGCTCCCGGCATAAAGTCCACATGTTGTAGCACTGAGTGAAGTTGAAGAAGTTGCTGTTGAACGTTTTGAGCTCGCCGCAGACATCCCTGCGCAGCTCCGCGAGCTCATAGCGCATCGCCGAGATCTCGTCCTTCCACTGCAAATTGAAGGCAGCGACCATGTTGGCGGACTCCTTGAAGGCCTGGATTGCCTGAGGGACCGGTGGCTCGGAGGTGGCTCTGGGGGAGGCGGCGGGGACCCTATACAAAGGCGGGCTTGCTGGCGGGATGGAGATGGCGGTCACCGTCGAGCTAGTACTGTGCTGGCTTCGAGCTGCGGCGGTTTCTCTCTCCAGCCTCTCCAGCTCTGCATAGGCAGAGGAGCTAGCACCATCGTCATCCTCTATCATGTCGTCATTTAGCAAGGATGTGGCATCCACAACATCATATTCTGGAAGAAAAACGTGAGCGTGCAGACACAAGGACATTCATGGTGAAAGGAACAGCTGGAGAGTGGTTCTATTCAGACTCTAAACTAGAAAATAGGCACATATCTATGGAAAACAAACAGTATGTGAGAGGAAAAAACAACATATTGTGACTTTAGGAACTGTACAACACCAAGCTGGAGGTGCAAGTTGAATCATTTTATTGTTTGCTGTTTGGAAATGGATAATTCCAATAGCCAAAACAGTAATGTTTTAAAATAGAATCATTAGTATTTGAAGTTTCTAAACATTAAAATTATAAACTCACATACTGAAAGCTTTCACAATGTCTTGTTACACTGCCTTCTCAGTCATCTCAAGGCTTCTTTCCATCTTTTCACTGCACAGCACAACAAACAAATAAAATGCATCAACCATCATCAAATCAAGAAATCCCTAGACATGTCAAGTGCTTCTCGGCGACTCGCAAATTGTGCCGTTTTGTGCAAAAGAAAAGATGCAAAGGGGAAGGGAGAGGAATCACAACCCACTGGGTTAAGAAGCAGATATGAACCCTATTGAACACGTCAGGTCCAAGGTGGCTAAATGAGACCAATGTGGAGAGGTAAAACACCCGGCAAGGGAAAGAGGGAAACCCCACTCGCCCTTTGGGGCTGCGTCAGGGAGAGGCTGCAATCCCACAGTCAAAAGCAGCTGACGAACTCATTGCCAAGGGTTCAAATACATGTGAGTGAGAAGTTAACGTTCACACATGCACTGCTCTGACAAACGATTGCAGACAGTGGCAAGGTGATCACATTCATCACTACTTCATGGTGGCGACATGAACACATTCTGAGAGGGATTTTAACTTAAACATTTACACTTACGATGCGGACTAAAACACTTAGAGACAAAAACAACTCACAAAAGCCAGCATCACATTTGAAAACCCAATAATTCAGTGTTTAAGAAGAAATCGGTCACAATGTCTGAGGTTTTATGAGTTGTTTGAACCGTGTTTGCTACCACCTATATAAAATCTAAGGATCTAGGATTCTTTTTTTTTTTACTGAGAAGGCAGTGCAAAAACACACATATACATAGATATATGTATGCGTGTCAGCATTAAAATACCTGCAGCAACCATCAATGATGCCTCCAGTTGTTCCTTTTCCCCTGGTTATCCAACATCTGGATGGTCAAAAGGAGAGGTGCATCATCGGGTCCCTTTTCCCACTCAAGGGCCCACTAACCTCAGGGTTTTGATTCGTAAACTGCTTACAATTTGATTATAACTAAGTTCTAAAGACTATCGTGAAAACTTGACTCCAAAATCGGTGTTTTCTTGTTGGCCATTTTTAAATGTATGGCCACTGTTGTTTGAGACGGGCAGATTTACAGCACAGCACTGTCTAACTAATCACCATCCAACAAACTCTGAAACAAATGTCTGCGCTGCTAAAACCTTATTACACACATTGCAAATAAAGAATCATTCCAATCTCCCAAAAAAACAACTTGGCAACATCCTGAACTATAAAAAGCTTGTTGTAGCCCCACCCAGAACTGACAGGAGTTCAGCAAATAAGACAGTGGGATTGAAGGACACTCCTTTATCCTCAGCAGTTCTGTCATGAAGAAATTGTTGATGAGAACCGAATTGAAGATAGGAGTATTCCAAAAAAACAGAACTCCAGATTCATCAAGAAAGACAAAGTCAACAAAATAAATAGAAGTGAAATTGAGTCCAAGTTGACAGGAAAAAATGTACAAAAACGTTTGGTCATAATATACAAAAAGAATGCATGTTATTGGAGAAAAAACTGTTTCAATAGGGTTCATAGCTTTACTCTTGCAGGCAGACACCAAATACACTTACTGAGGGAGGTACTGTGGAAGGGTTTGCTTGCACAAAGAATCTCAGATGTTAAATATTGCTCTTGTTGTGTCACAAAACTTTCAAATCTTTGCACAGTGTGTTTAAAAAGCAGCTTTTAGGAAGTAAAACTGAATAGGAGTCAATGAATAGAAAAAGACTTGGAAACTAAATTAGTTTATTCTGTCGTTTTGAACATTGAGAATCTAAATTTTGAATATTAACTCAGCTCAAACATAAACTTGCAGCAGATGAGAACAAGTCCTAATAATCAAAGATTTTTGTTTGTTTTGCTGCTCATAAATTTCAGTTTTATGCACCACAAAACAACAATACTGATAATTAAAAACAATTCAGATCTTTTAAAGTTGGTCTGTGGGAATAATGTAAACAATTATCATCTAACCTGTCTGTACATAACACTTCAAACAATCTTAGTTTGGAGAAATAAAGTTTTACTCTGACTAAGCTAATGAGCTAATGGCTGCTCTGAGTTAGACCAAGATCAAACTCCAGTCACAACAGTCTTATGCTATTTGTTGTATTTATTCATATGCATTTTTATTTTATCCTTATTTGAAAAGGGGCAGATATTATAAGATTTTTTTCTTCTTTCTGCCACATTTCATTTTCTTTGTAAATGTTTTTTTGTTGTTTTGAGGTTTGTTTTGTTTTAAACTGAAAATGAATAAATTTGTTTAAAAAAATTAGTTATTCCGTTACCACTTTACAATAAGGCTCCCCTTATATATGGCTTGTAAATAGTTTATAGATAGGTTATTAATTAATCTGTAAACACTTTATAAATCATTAATAAGTGTTCATTATTCATTAATTAAGGACGGGAAAGAGACAAAACTGTCAGATTTCTTGCCAAATAGTGAGCCAAATCACATCTAAATGTGCTTATTAAACGTTTCAGACTATTAAGCACAATAATTTATTGAAAACACATATTTTACATATAATATTGTACTGTATTACCACATTATACATACCCACAGTAATTAAAGGGAGCCTTATAGTAAAGTGTTGAACAGTATAAAAATACTATTAATGTCATAACAGAGCCTTATGATGTACTGTTTTACACTTTACAATAAGGCTCCCTTTGACAGTTGTTAATATGTATAAGTGATATAGTTCAAAATTACTTTTTAAATATGTGTTTCCAATACATAATTGTGCTTATAAACCTGAACTTTTTTAAATAAGAAAAAGTTCTAAATAAGAATAAATTCTAAATAAGATAGAATTTGGTGAGAAAACGGACAGTTTTGTCTCTTTCCTGTCCTTAATTAATCCATAATAAACATTTATTAATGATATATAAAGTGTTTACAGATGAATCAATAACTTATCTATAAACTATTCATAAGCCATCTATAAGGGGTGCCTTATTGTAAAGTGGTACCGTTATTCCTGCAGAAACATTAGGAAATTCCTGCAGGAAGTGCCTCCGGCTACACAGGAAGTGCTACAGCAAGCTCCTGCTACTACTGGCATTTGCAAATAAATGAGTAATATATAATAAATAGCATCCTGGTCCACTCAGACTTGATATTAGCTCGTCTTTCAATCTGAAAAATACAACTTTCTATTGAAACTGAGGCTCTTTGAAGAGGTATTTATGACAGGTTGATAATAACTGTTCAGAAAATTTCCACAGCATCCCACTTCAAAAAAATCTAGTTCTTATAGTTATTTTTTTACATTTTTGCAATAAACAATCAGTTCCTTTGTGCAACAAACATGTGTTGACTTGTTCCAGCCTCTAGTTTTTCTTGACTTACCTTAAATTGGCTTCACTATGTAATTTTTCTTGTGTTTTATAAGGTTAATTCCAAGGTTATTTATCATTTCTGTGTTTTTGTGTTCCACAGAGCAGAGGTAGGACAGGTCGACAACCTCCTGCTGCCCCTGCCTCTGTCCCATTCGGAGCTCCAGCCCTCCCTAAGTAACTGACACTCTTTGCAACACAAATAAAACCACACAGTTGAACATGCTGAGGGTAAACAGTACACCTGCTGTGCATGCCATGTTATGTGGCTGTGGCGTGTTTTTACATCTTTTTAGTCTAACCCTCCAACCCAGTTTTATTTCCCAGCTTCAATTGTCAGAAAAATAAAATAAAAACAGAAGTAAACATACAATAATTTAACTAATGCAAAGAAACATGCAAAGGAACAGAAACAAGCAAACCATTAAACTATTCTGGAGTATGCAAAGGGAAAAAAAACTAAACACAGCTTCCAAAGGAATAAAAGGGAATCATTCAACTTGGCATCTGAATCTTAAGGCTTCCCCACTGTACATATGTACGTATGTCAGGTTTGTGCGCATGTACACGATGTATGAAGAGATGTGGACTGAGCCCTCTCTCGTTTCAGGGGGTTTGTTTTACCTGTTGTGGATCTGAGAGTTGAAGTGACAGTGGAGGATGTCATTGAAGGCAAGCAGTCGTCATCTTGGGAATAACCAGCCTGAATTGCACGGAGGTAACTGTGGCTTCGAGTGCGGAACGAGCCAGGCAGGTCCAAGGCCTCCATGGCCTGGGATTCTACTTCACTAAAAACGGACTCGCAAACTGATTCAAACTGGCCATTGATCTCAGTCTCACTCACCTGAGAGACAAAAACAGGAATAGCAGTCCTTAATTTTTCCTCTTCCTTTCTCTTTCTCACTTTGATTCTTCCCCTTTGTACAGCAAATATGAAGGAGGGTTAGCATAAGGAAACGCCACCGTAAAATCCAACCTTAAACGGAATGAATGTCAGATCAAAAAGGAACAAAATGTGGATGACAAAAATAAAGAAATCAGAAAAAAGATACAGGTTTTAGAGGACAAACTGACCACAAAGTTCAAAATAAATGACCTAACATGTATACTGTTTTTAAAAAATACTAAAAGATTAAATCACCTGTAAACGTCACAATCAAAACAGGTCATCCTGAGATGTTTTACCTCATTCTGTATCAGCGGATCATAAAGGTGTAGTCAGAAGTTTTCATCCACTCATAATAGGCCTGAGTGTCGGAATAAATTCTTTATCTGAACCATATTTTTACCAGAGCAGAATGCTAATCCAGCAGATCTCAAGATTTGAATATTTTTTGGAGGAGTTTAAAGGGCCTATATTATGTGTTTCTCAGGCTTATATTTAAATACTATACCATAATAAAGTATCTACACTCACCGGCCACTTTATTAGGTACACCTGTCCAACTGCTCGTTAACAC